TTAAAGTGATATCATTGTCTTTTCTTTTTAGGAAAACTTGGTATGTGTGTATACAATTCTCTCCAGAAACCATTGAACAGTTGGGTGGTTAAAATTTAAATTTTGGGGGATTATAGCGCCTTCTCAAATTAAATGCGAGTAATATGGCTTCACTGATTGCTTATCTGCTTCTGGTGTTGCCATTTTAGTAATATAAGATAACATTCCAACTGCAAGTAACCTGATCAGTGTATACTTATCAGGGTTTACCATGAGTTCACACAAACCTTTAACCCATAAACTATTATAAAGAAAGCAAGCTTTGCATAAGATAAACCTAAAAAAAAAACCAACAAATCCTATTTCTTTCGTCCTTACATATTTTATTTTCTGATGTTATTTAATAACCTGTTCTTATATGGTCATTGCTAGTACAGAATTCATATTGATATATAGAAACTGTGCTCTAAGTGGAAACACAAAAAAACGCAGTGTGTGAGAATGGAGTTTGCAAGTATTAAAAGCGCAGTTAAAGAAAATATGAGGTATTAGACACCAGGTGACCTGCACTCAGTTTTAGGAGATGTACCTCTCTATTGTAAATGGAAAATTCCAAATTTTGATCTAATAGAGATAAGAAACAATAAGTAACTTCTAAAGTTAACAAATTTTGATTTATGCTAAAACTGTAGCTCTAATATTATGGTAATTCAAACTTTATTTTTTATATCAAATTCTGTTTGTATTCTAAAGTTTTTAGAATTGGATGGAAAGATTATGAAAAACCGTTTGATCTACAGCTTTGTGCAGATTTGGGTTTCTTTTGTTATGGTGTACAGCATTATCCTTTAAATATTTCCTCTGAACCCTTCCAAAAGACCTTTTTATTTTAGGATATTTCTACTACTGTGGCAGATCTCTGATAGTTAGGTAGAAGATTATTAACTTAGCTCTGTTAATTGAAAGATATCTAAAAACAGTTACATGAGGACATGTTTGCAAAAACATTTGTTTTAAGGCACTTTACTTCTTACAGGGATTTTTTTTTTTTTTATCTGTCTGTGTCTGAATGCTTGTTTCTATACACTGCTGCAGGACAGTTAAAGTGAAAGCCTGTGAAATATTGTATTGTGCCTACCTCCAATCAATCTAGCATTTTTATCCATCTGTATTGACCTGCTGTCATATTCAAACATTTGAGAGAGCTGTGTATCCACTTTCATTTAAATACAGAATCTTTGTTTTTTTCCAGATGTGTGGTTAAGAAATAGGGATAAGAAAATCTCTTGTGGATCTGTATGTGTTTTTTGCCCCCTTCCCGCCCCCTGCTCACACACTCACTTTTTTTTTCTTCATAATTTATGAAAATACCAAAATAATGACCCCATTAATTCAAATGACAGATTGGTGAGCATCTGTATATTTCCATCATGGAACAATATTTTTTTAGTGGGCACAACTTGTAGGTGTAATGGAATACTTGCCTATATCTAGTTAAAAAAATGGTTTTTAACAGTGAATATAATCTATGGCCTGCTAATTTAAGCCTGAAATGGTTATACACAAGTGCATTAAAGCCAGCATGTCATTATCCTTTAAAAAAAAATAAAAAATGCCTGTTTGATGTCAAAATTCCCTAACAGTATTGGAGCATTATCATTGGCACAATTTAGTGCATATATTCCTAAATGTATTGCCCTGTTTTGACTTTTCTAGGCCCTTTAGAGAACTCTGTAATCTATTGTCCTATCACTAATGCATTAATGACTTTGCCAACAAAAGGCTTTAAAAATGTATTGCAGGCCTCTACTGTGGTCACAAAATTTGCAAACACTTGTGTTCTTGACATGACTGCTGTTTCTCTGCCAATCCCCAATCTTTGTGACTGAATCTTACATGTGGCTGTATGTACATACTCTGATTTCATGTAGAGGTTTAAACTTGATGCTGTATCTTTCAGCCCCTGTGAATTTTAATTTCATATTTTTTGTTTTGTTCATTTTAGTTTCACTTCACACTAAATCTACTGGCTTTCTTTTCCTCATGTTACCGTGAGAAACATTTCATTCTGATGCCAAAATAAAACTATTCTGTAAAACGTGGTCTGTGATTGAGCGATAGTAACTGCTGTGTTTTTCCGTTTCTGATTGTGGCTTGCTTCTACTGAGCTTCAGAAGTAATAGTGTTGGATTTAGGTGTAACTGAAGCCCATATGATTGCAAACTGTGTCAACTGAGCCAAACGTGTCACCCTTTTTAAAAAAAATGTTTTTAAACATTCTACAGTCATAGAGTAAAATTAGCAAAAATCCTTGGTGGTACAATGGTATAGTACCGTCCTGGGAAACACTGGGTAGGGAGATGAGCTATACAGGATATGGCAATAAAGTGCAAAGTAGAGAGTAGAATCAATACATATACCAAATCTCCTAATACAACCCGTGAGTTATGAAAAGCCCCCACCAAAGGCTAGAAGAGAATAAGTTAAATAGCAAGTAGTAGTTTCACTGCTTGACCCAGGAATATGTGAGAAATGGTATTAAAGGAATACATCCACTTAGTAAAGGCTAAATAAGAAGGAAAAGGGGTATATTCACTAAACAATTGAATATTTAAAATGCAAACGGGTTATATCAAATTTGCGGCCATGAGATAGCTCTAACAGAGCGGTCACATCGCTGCAATAGGTGTCCATGTATCTGCCTGCAGGGGGACTGTCTGCTGACAGGCAGTCTCCCTGCTGGTGAAAAGTTCTAAAAGGTTATAAAGCAGTCACAGTAAAAAAATAAAAAAAATAAAATGATAAATATACATATATTCTCTCTCTCATACATAATGTCAAACTAAGTGTATTTTTATATATACATATATTAATATAAAAATACTTATAATTAAATTACACACACACGTGTGTGTGTGTGTGTGTGTGTGTGTGTATAGATAGTGTGTATATATAAATAATAAAACAATTGTGTAATTTTATTCTAATTGTATTTTGATATATACACTTAGAATGAAATTATATACCACTATGTATATATAAATAATATGAAATGTGTGTATATATATCCATATACAAAATTACATAATTTCATAAATATACATCCCTTCCCTCACACATATATACCCCCCACCACCAGTTCAAATATTCCTCCTATAGGTTCCTTCTGTTCCTGTCCGGCTGATCACGATCTTCCCGTGATTACTTCCTGCTTTGTATTTGTCTGTCATCGCGTTCCAAGCGCGGTGACGTCATGCGTTCCACGCATGTGTTCCAACCTCATGTAGATGTCCACTGGAGTTCTATAGTGGCACATGCAATTCACCATGCGTTCCACTTCAAGGAAGTTCACTATATTTCTGCAACAATTCTGGTAATGAGTGGGCGAACAGGACATATGGGAGAGGGGGGAGGAAAGGTTACTGACTATAGTCTGTATATAAAAGAGCCTAATAGATCCCACATGAAAAAAAAAAAAATACATCAAAAGTTATACATATTTTTTGGAACAGCTATGATGGAAGTAAGAAGGAACTGTACACTCCATATTGAAATATGTATAATGTTTGATCTTAAGATGGAAGTAAAATATAAATGGAATAAAATATACTTTATTTATTAAAAAAAAAAATATGTTCAGGATGAATCCAAAAGAGTATTTTTCTTTCAATTCCAAAGGACTTTCTTCTCCCATACAGAACTGTACCATATGTAATATATATCCTTATAGAGAGAGACTGTAATTTTATACCATGTAGAATGAATTCCTAAACACATGGTGTCTTAAAATACATAATAATTATTTATATATCAAAAATAAAAGAAGAAAAAGGAGAAGGTAGAAAAAGGCTTACTCCAGAAAGCACCAGAGATCTATAGCTACATTTAACCCCCTTGGTTGGAGGCATTTTAGCGTGTTTATCCAATACGTTTCATGCTGTGCTAACTTTTTCATTATATTCCCACCCCTCCAATACATATCTATTTTTTCCGAACCTATAAAATTAAAAGCTTTCCAACAAAATTTGGCACATGTATTGCAATGGATGGGGACTATATGTTTTTATTTATTTTTTATATTAAAAATACGTTCTTTTAATTTTGTACAAGTTCGGCCCACATACTGCATATTGAAAGATAGATGTCAGTTTGTGTAAAGTGCTGCCTGCTTTCCACTGCTCTCTCCTCCTGCGTTCCACTACAACTCAGTAATTTTGGCGGCAGATGCTGAAAAGGTGCTTACTAGTTTCTAAGGTCATACTCGCTTCATCAGGGGTTGACATTTGTACAGAGTCTCTGTGTTTAACCCCTTCATGGCCGGTGACGTTCAGAACCGTCATCGGAAAAATCCCCTTGAGGACCAGTGACGGTCCTGAACCATCATAATGGAGATATTTACTCACCCAGTCGCTGTCGTTTCCCTGGTGGCGATCGGCGTTGCTCCCAGTGTGCAGCCCATGCAGTCTCCCCTCGGCGAGACAGAGCGGTCCCATCGCTGCAATAGGTGTCCATGTATCTGCCTGCAGGGGGACTGTCTGTGCTGACAGGCAGTATCCCTGCTGGTGAAAAAAGTTGTAAAAAGTTATAAAGCAGTCACAGTAAAAAAACTAAAAAAATAAAATTATATATATATTTGTATTAAGGCCGTTTGGCCTGTATTTGTGGGAGGGGCTTAAATTAATTCACTCCCCTATATAAGGGACACCCCTCACCTGACTCCAAATCGCTTGAGGTCAGCATCAGAATGATTTCCACTTCCGGGTCATCCAGACGCCATTTTACCTGATTACTCCATGAGGTTTTCTAATCCCGAATTCTATGGCAAGACATTAGGCTTCATATTTTCTGTTTTAAAGCGATGATATGATGGAATTAGATACATGAGGAGATTGTCTAAAATAGAAGGTTCTGAAGGTGGATTTACTGGACCAAAATGCGGAGGTGAGGATCTCCGTTAGGGAGCCCCCAGATGTAAATGCAGACAAGGCGGCCACGCCTCTCACCGAGTGAGCACCAAAAAAAGGATCGATGCCTGCTAGGGCTAGAAGCCATTTGATCCAACGAGCAATCGTGGGGCATGACACTGGCTTGTGAGGTCGAATGTAGGACACCAGTAGGGGGCCCGTTTGTGGTCTAAGGTCTTTAGTGCGAAGGATGTAGTGTCAGACGCAACTAGCTACGCAGAGCATGGGTTTGACGTGAAAGTAAGGGTAGCTTACTGTAGATGAATTGGTTTTGATGCGTCGGGTAATGGAGAAATGCACTCCCTCTGGGGTAAAGTCCACGGCATGATTGTCAAATGCTCTGATGTCCGAAACTCTTCTAAATGATACCAAACAGAGCAGTAGTGCCAGTTTGGCCGACAGTTGTCAAAGAGAGAGTTCTCCAGTAGGGGGCCAAGTCTCCAAAAAGGATAATACCATAGTAACATCCCAAAATTGATTATATTTGGGAGCCGGGGGTCTCGCGAGGCGGATGCCTCGCAAAAGTCTACATATGGAGGGGTGTTTACCAACCGCGGAGTTGTCAACGGGGCTATGAGCTGCCGAAATGGCTGAACGGAAAACGTTAATTGACCGATAGGACTTACCCTGTTCAAAGAGTGATGCCAGGAAGTTCATAATGTTAATCAAAGAGGCTGAAAAGGGATCAACGTCCCTCTCCAAGCACCAGCTATTCCAACGTTGCCACACTGAGAGATAAGAGCGTCTTGTTCTTGGGGCCCAAGAGTCCCTTAGTAGTCCTCGAGCAGCAGCCGAAAGGCCAGAGACGTTCCAGGGTCCCCTGAAATGGTCCAAGCCACTAACCGAAGGTGGCCTTGTAGTGCTAGTGTATGGAAGTTGCCTGAAGGGTCCCTGAGGAAGTTGTAAGAGGTGGTTAGGAGTAGGGGATAGTCCACTGACATCTCCAGAAGATAAGGGAACCATGGCTGGGTTCGCCATAGTGGGGTTACCAGAGTTATGGTGACGCCGTGTTCTGAGGTATTGTACCGTGCGTGGGATCATGGAGAAAGGGGGAAAGGCATTTGCTCCGGATGTTGGCCACGGTTGAAGGAAGGTATCCACTGCCAGGGAAACTGGGTCTGGGAGCCAGCTGAAGAATGCGTCCGTTTGACGGTTCAGGCGAGATGCAAACAGGTCCAGGTTGAATAGCCCTCTCAGGACCTGTAGATGGTGAAAAATTTGTGGGTCCAGTTGCCAGTCACTGGAATCCCACCAGTGGCGGGAGAACCAATCTGCGACGAGATTGTCGGAGCCTGGGAGATATTCCGCACGAAGGGAGATATTCCTGTCCAGGCAGAATTGGTATAATTCCTTTGTCAGATCTGATAGCATTTTTGATCGGGAGCCACCTAGGCGGTTCACGTATCGTACTGCTGAGACATTGTCCATCCTCAGGACAAGACTGCAGTTGTAGGCTTCCTCGGCAAAACTGCGGATCGCGAAAGAACCAGCAATTAATTCGAGGCAATTGATGTGAAGAGCCTGTTCTGATGGGGACCAGAGGCCTCCGGTAGAACGTTCGGACCAGGTGGCACCCCATCCAAGGAGGCTGGTGTCTAATTCCAGAATGAAATCGGGTTGTTGGCTGAAGATAGCCCTTCCATTCCAGGCTTCCATATGTTGAAGCCACCAGTGGAGTTCCAATTGGACTTCGTCTGTGAGGAAAATCTGTTGTTCGTAAGATGTTGAACAATGTAAGTAGTGTGTTCTCAAACGTTGCATTGCCCGATAGTGTAGTGGGGCTGGAAATATTGCTTGGATTGAGGCGGAGAGTAATCCAATTGTGCGGGCTAAATCCTTGAGTCAGAGATATGGTGAAGCCAGCAATCTCCGGATGTCCTTTTTTATGGTTATGATTTTCGTAGCAGGGAGTTGTAGAACTGCCTGAATCGAATCTATCTGAAATCCCAGAAACTGTATCGTCTGGGGCGGAGTTAGAGATTATTTTTGCAGGTTGATGACAAAACTCAAATTCTGGAGGAGAGCCAAAGTCATATCTGTATGGAGACGTAGAGTCTCCTCGTCTTGAGCCATGAGAAGGATATCGTCCAAGTATATGATGGACCGAATCCCTTGTGAGCGGAGTAGTCCCATCACCGGTTTCATTAGTTTG